TCCACGCCTTGAATATCTTTGAGAAAATATTTTTTAAAAAATCCACGCCTTGAATATCTTTGAGAAAATATTTTTTAAAAAATCCACGCCTTGAATAACTTCGAGAAAATATTTTTTAAAAAATCCACGCCTTGAATAACTTCGAGAAAATATTTTTTAAAAAATCCTTTAAAAAAATGGTTTAAAAATAAGAATTGAAAAAAAAAAAGGTGAGCGTATACGTTGTGACACCAATCATACATCATATGGTCCCGCACAGAATCTAGGCTCTATAACGAATAATGATATGAAATTTGAAATTTTAATGGGGATTTTTAGATTTATTTATTTCAGTAGCAAACTTCGCAAAAATAAATTAGTGGCCTCCCAAATCCTCCCGAGAACTAGTTTCGCATCATTGTAGAACTAACGAGCAAGTCGGCACCCCACTAAAATAAATATAAAATATTAAATTTACATTTTTAAATATCAAATATTTTTCGATTTCCACCACTAACAGGTTTTGCAGAGGCCGTAACTGCAAATAAGACCAACGAAATCACTCCAAAGGCTATGGGCAAAAATTTCATTTTGAATGTAAATTTAGATTTCACTAATTTGAAAAAAATGTCGCCAGATTTTATAGGTACTGTGGAAAATTTCCTAGTCGTAATTCCATTAAAAATAAATTATTTCCGACTCCAAAGACAGCGTTAAGGCATTCAATTAGGCAATCAATCTGTGAAGTTGAAAAAATTTAACAAATATGGGATAGGCGTATACGTTGTGTCAGCAATCATACGCACAGTGGGCTTAAAATTATTTTGTATTTAAAGAAGGTGTTTCAAATCAAAGAAAATAAAATAACACTGCCAAAAAATCACTTAAAATCAGACTCAGACTTTTTTTTAAATCCACGCCTTGAATATCTTCAAAGAAATATTTTTTTAAAAAATCCACCCCTTGCATATCTTGAAAGAAATATGTAAAAAAGAAATCCAAGCCTTGAATATCTTTAAAGAATTATTTTTTTTTTAAATCCATGCCTTCAAAGACATATTTTTTTAAAAAATCCACCCCTTTTTTTAAATCCACGCCTTGAATATCTTCGACAAAATATTTTTTTTTAACTCCACGCATTGAATATCTTCAAAGATATATTTAAAAAAAAAATCCACGCCTTGAATATCTTCAAAAAATATTTTTTTAAAAAATCCTGGCCTTGAATATTTTCAAAAAATATTTTTTTTAAAAAATCCTGGGCTTGAATATCTTCAAAGAAATATTTTTTTTAAAAAATACAGGCCTTGAATATCTTCAAAGAACAAAATTGCCGGCATTTTTGAAAAAATTACGCCTTGAATATCCTCGAGAAAATATTTTTTTAAAAAATCGACGCCTTGAATATCTTCGAGGAAATATTTTTTAAAAAATCGACGCCTTGAATATCTTTGAGAAAATATTTTTTAAAAAATCCACGCCTTGAATATCTTTGAGAAAATATTTTTTAAAAAATCCACGCCTTGAATATCTTTTAGAAAATATTTTTTAAAAAATCCACGCCTTGATTATCTTTGAGAAAATATTTTTTAAAAATCCACGCCTTGAGTATCTTTGAGAACATATTTTTTAAAAAATCCACGCCTTGATTATCTTTGAGAAAATATTTTTTAAAAAATCCACGCCTTGATTATCTTTGAGAAAATATTTGTTAAAAATCCACGCCTTGAATATCTTTGAGAAAATATTTTTTAAAAAATCCACGCCTTGATTATCTTTGAGAAAATATTTTTTAAAAAATCCACGCCTTGATTATCTTTGAGAAAATATTTGTTAAAAATCCACGCCTTGAATATCTTTGAGAAAATATTTTTTAAAAAATCCACGCCTTGATTATCTTTGAGAAAATATTTTTTAAAAAATCCACGCCTTGATTATCTTTGAGAAAATATTTGTTAAAAATCCACGCCTTGAATATCTTTGAGAAAATATATTTTAAAAAATCCACGCCTTGAATATATCTTTGATAAAATATTTTTTTAAAAAATCCACGCCTTGAATATCTTTGATAAAATATTTTTTTAAAAAATCCACGCCTTGAATATCTTTGATAAAATATTTTTTTAAAAAATCCACGCCTTGAATATCTTTGATAAAATATTTTTTTAAAAAATCTACGCCTTGAATATCTTTGATAAAATATTTTTTTAAAAAATCCACGCCTTGAATATCTTTGATAAAATATTTTTTTAAAAAATCCACGCCTTGAATATCTTTGATAAAATATTTTTTTAAAAAATCCACGCCTTGAATATCTTTGATAAAATATTTTTTTAAAAAATCCACGCCTTGAATATCTTCAAAGAAATATTTTTTTAAAAAATCCACGCCTTGAATATCTTTGAGAAAATATTTTTTAAAAAATCCACGCCTTGAATATCTTTGAGAAAATATTTTTTCAAAAAATCCACGCCTCGAATATTTTTAAAAAAATTTATGCCTTGAATATCTTTGAGAAAATATTTTTAAAAAAATTTATGCCTTGAATATCTTTGAGAAAATATTTTTTTAAAAAATCCACGCCTTGAATATCTTCAAAGAAATATTTTTTTAAAAAAATATCTTCAAGGAAATATTTTTTAAAAAATCAACGACTTGAATATCTTCAAGGAAATATTTTTCTAAAAAAAATCCACGCCTTGAATATCTTCAAGGAAATATTTTTTAAAAAATCCACGCCTTGAATATCTTCAAGGAAATATTTTTTTAAAAAATCCAGGCCTTGAATATCTTCAAGGAAATATTTTTTTAAAAAATCCAGGCCTTGAATATCTTCAAGGAAATATTTTTTTAAAAAATCCAGGCCTTGAATATCTTTGAGAAAATATTTTTTAAAAAATCCACGCCTTGAATATCTTTGAGAAAATATTTTTTAAAAAATCCACGCCTTGAATATCTTTGAGAAAATATTTTTTAAAAAATCCACGCCTTGAATATCTTATCAAAAATATTTTTTAAAAAATCCACGTCTTGAATATCTTATCGAAAATATTTTTTAAAAAATCCACGTCTTGAATATCTTATCGAAAATATTTTTTAAAAAATCCACGCCTTGAATATCTTATCAAAAATATTTTTTAAAAAATCCACGTCTTGAATATCTTATCGAAAATATTTTTTAAAAAATCCACGCCTTGAATATCTTTGAGAAAATATTTTCTAAAAAATCCACGCCTTGAATATCTTATCAAAAATATTTTTTAAAAAATCCACGTCTTGAATATCTTATCGAAAATATTTTTTAAAAAATCCACGCCTTGAATATCTTATCAAAAATATTTTTTAAAAAATCCACGTCTTGAATATCTTATCGAAAATATTTTTTAAAAAATCCACGCCTTGAATATCTTATCAAAAATATTTTTTAAAAAATCCACGTCCTGAATATCTTATCGAAAATATTTTTTAAAAAATCCACGCCTTGAATATCTTTGAGAAAATATTTTTTAAAAAATCCACGCCTTGAATATCTTATCGAAAATATTTTTTAAAAAATCCACGCCTTGAATATCTTATCGAAAATATTTTTTAAAAAATCCACGCCTTGAATATATTCAAGGAAATATTTTCTTAAAAAATCCACGCCTTGAATATCTTCAAGGAATTAGTTTTTTAAAAAATCCACGCCTTGAATATCTTCGAGAGAATATTTTTCTTAAAAAATCCTGGCCTTGAATATCTTCGAGAGAATATTTTTTTAAAAAAATTCAGGCCTTGAATATCTTCGAGAAAATATTTTTTTAAAAAATCCACGCCTTGAATATCTTTGAGAAAATATTTTTTAAAAAAATGCACGCCTTGAATATCTTTAAGAAAATATTTTTTAAAATATCCACGCCTTGAATATCTTTAAAGAATTATTTTTTTTAAAAATCCATGCCTTGAATATCTTCAGAGAAAAATTGTAAAATTTGAAAAAATTACTGGATTTAGATTTTTGCAGACATTTAAGGCCGTCTCTTTGCCCAGGATTTTTCGAAATATTCGAAGCCAAAAAAGGAAGTACCTCTGGGCGTATAGGTACTGACGTGCAGCATACGCCACCATTTACACCGAACTCTTCTATAATTCCCATAAAATTTATCGCATTAAATATTTAAAAGAAAATCCAATCTAGAAACTGCCTAGAATTGTTGAAACCCATTTTTTCTAGATTTTTTTTTTTTTTTTTTTTGAAATATTTAAACCCGAAAAATAAGTATCTCCTGGCGTATAAGTGCTGACGTGCAGTATACGCCACCGTTAAGATCGAGCTTTCCTTCAATTCCCATGGAATTTTACAGAATTTGTCGCGGTCAATATTTAAAAAAAATCTCCTTAGATCTCATTAGACAAAAAATGGAGGACTTAGTGACCCCTTGAAAATATTTAAAATTTTAAAAATTCAGGACTGGATTTGTTTTTTGGATTCGTTGAAGTATTTAAATCCTAAAAGGAAGTATCTCCTGGCGTATAAGTGCTGACGTGCAGTATACGCCATAACAAACCCAAAGCTTTTTTTTAATTCCCATAAAATTTCGCAGAATTGTTCACAAATTATTTTCAAAAAGAATGTCTCTGCTTTTAGGCAGCTTCAAATGGCATACATTTAGGCTTCTTTATGAAGACAATTTATGTCGGATTTTTAGGTGGCCTCTCAAACATATTTTCACAAATTTCCATAAAATTTTACCGCACCTCGTTTTTATTTGGGAGCCATATCAACAAGCATTGCATTTTCCAAAAATAATTCACATTTTCATACCTTCTTTCCCTACGGCCTAGAAATCGGCTACAGTCATAGACCTTAGCTCATTTTTAAAAATGTCTACCATTTGAATACTCCCAATTCTGTGACACGCCAGTTAATTAATTCCGCACCATGTTCCATAAAATTTTAATTTTTTTCCATGGCTTAAAATTTTAATTTTTTTTTCATGGCTTAACAAAGCCCTTCTCTGTTTTGCCAATTTTCAGGGGAGGTATAAAAAGCCCATTTTATCGCCTTGAGATATTCATTGGTTATCTTCTCTATCCTCCGAATAGCATCATGAAATTTCTACTAACCGTTTTGGGTCTGGCGGCTCTGGCCATGTTTGCCGAAGCTAAACCTCAGTTTTGGGGAGGGTAGGCCAATTCGAAGTTCCTTAGGAAATTTCTAAAAAATTAACTAATTATTTCCCTATCTTCCATTGCAGTGGCTATCCCGGTGGCATGGGTGGCGGCATGGGCGGTGGTTTCGGAGGTGGCGGCTTTGGAGGTGGTGATTATTGAGGATTGAAATAATTAAAGATTCGATGTTGAAATAATTTAATGTCTGTGTCCCAATAAAAGTTAACAACAAGATATCCTTTATAACCAGATTTTTTTCTTCATATCTCCCTGAGAAGGCACTTGAAAGGGGTTTCTACCGAAAAAGGGCCTCGGAAATACAAAGAATATAAAAAAATGTCTTAGGGCGTATAAGTAATGTCGTAACAAATACGACATTTCCAATTAGAGAACCCTTCAAAAATTCCTACTTAAATCCAAACAACTCTTGGTGTATGGTGACGTATGCTCAACGTCAGCACTTATATGCACTGAGGTACCTTTACATTTTTTTAGGCCTCTTCATGAAGACAATTTGTGTGGTGATTTTTAGCTGGCCTCTCAAACATATTTTCACAAATTGCCACGACATTTTAAAACGCAATTCCTTTTAATTTGGGCGCCATGCCAAAGGGCATTAGGTTTTGTCGATAATAATTTCCCACGCCATGTCCCCTCCACCTTATCTTCAGAAATGATGGTTAGAAAGCGATAGCCCTCTTCAGTGAAAAATAAAATGCCTTGCTTCTCCATTCAAATGAGATTTTGTGATAAAATAAAATTGTAGTTTGGCTCTAAGCCAACACCAAGGTTTGTAGAGACTTTATTGGGAGAATTTCCAAATACAAACTACCTGACAAAAAAGTTACAACTTCCAGGAGATATTTTTGAAAATAAAAAATCTGACGTAAATTTATAAGAATTTTAACCCTGCTGCTGATGCTGCTGTAACATCTCAACCATGAACTCTTTATGCAGTTGAAATAGTTCTTTTTTTAGAAAATAAAATAAAATAAAACTCCTGCAGAAAAACAAAAATTTAGCTGTCCCCACCTCCATAGACTTCCTGCCAAACAAGGCAACTTTGGATGTTGGCCTCTGAGTCTGGGTGTGGAGGGAGATTCGAACATGTTTTGGCATTTAAATCACTTGTTATGGCATGTAAGTGTCGTACATGACCGGAATTATCCCCAACCCATAGGCCTTGCAAATACAATGCGCCTTGAAGTATGCTTTAGTTTTTTTTTACTCCTTGCCAGCCAGCATAAATGGTTGGTTTGTAATTTTCAGAGACATCGATGATTTCGTTGGGCGCCATCATCGAGACATTGAATGGAGGTAAATAAATCAAATTCGGCTGAAGTCAATATAGTCATCTGCCAATAATTTGATTTATATCCGACAAAGAAACCCAAAAAACAAAGGAGGTTGTCTGGGAGGAGTCTCAAAGAAATCACTGCCAAGAGATTGGCCATTGAATTCTGGCGTTATTTCTATGCAGTTTGATTTTCCGTGAACTTGGGGGCCCATAAATTTTGTCAAAGAATCGCCCATTGATGGGCTTTTTATGACCAGGAAGTGACATTTCCTGAGATATTGGGAGATAATAAAAAGTCGTTGAAATGGCAAGTGGGGTCACATCAATAGATGATTAAATTCATATCAATTTGGAAGGGGAGAGAAATTGTCTCTCTCGGCCACAGGCATACTTACGTGAAATAATTTCTTACAAAGACATAAAAATACATACCTGAAAGGAAAGAAATAAAAAATTCAAAATTAGTTTTGAAAACAAAAATTTGAGAAAATATTAAAATTAAAATAGGCCCAGCCATACTGGGGGCGTATGAGTTATAATCACCTTCATATTATGTATACGCACGTGGGCCTATAGTTAATATTAATTATGCGCTCCAGGGGTCCAAACGAATATAAAATTTGTGATACCCTACCCTCGACGAGACATAAAAGAATTTTGAAAAAAAATTCAAAAAAAATCCTAGATTTGATTTTTCTAAGAATATTTGACTCAAGGACCGAAGGACCAATTTTTGAGGATTTTTTTCGAGGCCATACGGAATATTTTTCCAATAATAAATAAATTAATTTTTCAAGACTCCTAAAAAAAATTTTTTTCAAGGTACAATAGACCAATAAACCAGAATTTTTGGACCAATAATTCTTGTGGATTTTTTGGAGCTATTCGAAATGTTTTCTTCCAGAGACCAAAACCAAGAAAACGAATTTAATGGATTTATTGAAAACTTTCTGAGAACATTTATTCCAAGGTACAAAGGACCAATAAACCATAATTTTTTAGGACACCCCAGCCAGACTGGGAGCGTATGAGTTATAATCACCTTCATATTATGTATACGCATGGAGGGCCTATAATTATTATTAATTATGCGCTCCAGAGGTCCAAACGAAAATAAAATTTGTTATACCTTGCTATCGGTGATATAAAACAATTTTGAAAAAAAAATTAAAAAAATCCTAGACTTGATTTTTCTAAGAATATTTGACTCAAGGACAAATGGACCAATTTTTGCGGATTTTTTTTTTTTTTTTTTTTTTTTGAGGCTATGTGGAATTTTTTCTTCCAAGAATAAACAAATGGATTTTTCATGGCTATCAGAAAATATTTATTTGAAGGTACAACGGACCAATAAACCAGAATTTTCGGACCATCAATTCATGTGGAATTTTTGGGGATATTTGAAATGTCTTCTTCCAAGGACTTAGAAACCAATCTGCATGGATTTATTGAAGGACATTAATTTCAAGGTACAGTTGATCAATAAACCTAATTTTTTTTAGGACACCCCAGCCATACAGGGAGCTTATGAGTTATAATCACCTTCATATTATGTATACGCATGGAGGGCCCTTAATTAATATTAATTATGCGCACCAGGGGTTCAAAGGAGTATAACATTTTTTATACCCTACCCTCGACGAGACATAAAACAATTTTAAAAAAAATTTAAAAAAAAAATTCTACATTTAATTTTTCTGAGAATATTTGACCCAAGCACCAATGACCAATTTTTGCAGAATTTATTTTTATTTTTTATTTATTTATTTATTTTTTTTTTTTTTGGTTTTTGGGCAATATGAAATATTTTTTTCCAAGAATAAACAAATTAATTTTGTAAGACCATCAGAAAATATTCATTCCGAGCTACAGCGAACCGATAAACCATAATTTTTGGACCAACAATTCAAGTGAATTTTTTTGGAGCTATTCGAAATGTCCTCTTCCCAGGACTAAGAAAGCAATCTAGATGGATTTATTGAAGACTGTCGGAGAACATTTATTCCTAGCAAATTTTTTAGGACACCCCAGCCATAGTGGGAGACATATGAGTTATAATCACCTTCATATTATGTATACGCAAGGAGGGCCCATAATTAATATTAATTATGCGCTCCATGAGTCCAAACGAATATAAATACTTTCGAAAAACATAAAACGATTAAAAAAATCCTAGATTTTATTTTTCGAAGAATATTTGACACTAGGACCAATGATCCAATTTTTTTTTTTTTTTTTTTGAGGCTATACGATATTTTTTTTTTTAAAGAGTAAACCAATGGATCTTTCATGGCTATCAGAAAATATTTATTCCAAGGTACAAGGGACCAATAAACCAGAATTTTTTGGACCCACAATTCATGTGGATTTTTTTTTTTTTTTTTTTTTTTTTGCTATTCGAAATGTTTTCTTCCAAGGACCAACAAACCAATCTAAATGGATAAATTGAAGACTATTTGAAAACATTTATTCCAAGCTACAATGTACCAATAATCCTGAATTTTTTAGGACACCCCAGCCAGACTGGGAGCGTATGAGTTATAATCACCTTCATATTATGTATACGCATGGAGGGCCTATAATTATTATTAATTATGCGCACCAGGGTTCCAAAGGAATATAAATACTTTCGAAGAGACATAAAACGATTAAAAAATTTAAAAAAAAAACCTAGATTTAATTTTTCTAAGATTACTTGACTCAAGGACCAATGGACCTATTTTTATTTTATTTTTTTTTTTTTTTTTTGAGGCTATGTGGAATTTTTTCTTCCAAAAATAAACAAATGGATTTTTTATGGCTATCAGAAAATATTAATTTCAAGGTATAACGGACCAATAAACCAGAATTTTTGGATCAACAATTCATATGCATTTTTTGGGGGCTATTCGAAATGTTTTCTTCCAAGGACCAAGAAACCGAATCTAAATGGATTTATTGAAGACTATCTGAGGACATTCATTCCAAGGTACTGTGGATCAATAAACCTACATTTTTTAGGACACCCCAGCCATACATGGAGCGTATGATTTATAATCAGCTTCATATTATGTATACGCATGGAGGGCCCATAGTTAATATTAATTATGCGCATCAGGGGTTCAAAGGAGTATAACATTTTTATACCCTACCCTCGACGAGACATAAAACAATTTTGAAAAAAATTTAAAAAAAAATTCTACATTTAATTTTTCTGAGAATATTTGACCCAAGCACCAATGACCAATTTTTACAGAATTTATTTTTATTTTTTATTTATTTATTATTATTATTTTTTTTTTTTTTTTGGTTTTTGGGCTATACAAAATATTTTTTCCAAGAATAAACAAATGGATTTTCTAAGACCATCAGAAAATATTCATTCCAAGGTACAATGGACCAATAAACCAAAATTTTTGAACCAACAATTCATGTGGATTTTTTTGGGAGCTATTCGAAATGTCCTCTTCCCAGGACCAAGAAACCAATCTAAATGGATTTATTGAAGACTGTCAGAGAACATTTATTCCCGGCAAATTTTTTAGAACACCCTAGCCATAGTGGGAGACGTATGAGTTATAATCACCTTCATATTATGTATACGCAAGGAGGGCCCATAATTAATATTAATTATGCGCTCCATGAGTCCAAACGAATATAAATAATTTCGAAGAGACATAAAACGATAAAAAAATCCTAGATTTTATTTTTCGAAGAATATTTGACTCAAGGACCAATGGACCAATTTTCGCGGTTTTTTTTTTTTTTTTGAGGCTATGTGGAATTTTTTCTTCCAAGAATAAAGGAATGGATTTCTCATGGCTATCAGAAAATATTAGTTTCAAGGTATTCAAGGTAGGTAAACCAGAATTTTCGGACCCACAATTCATGTGGATTTTTTTTGGGCTATTCGGAATATTTTCTTCCAACGACCAATAAACAAATTCAAATGGATTTATAGAAGACTATC